GGCTCCGGGGTGCTGTGTGGATGGTGTCTACAACAGAGGGCACCAAGCAACGTGAAGGCCACAGCCTGGCAGAGCAAAGTATGCGCGTAGGTGGGTCCGTGTCTGCGTGCATGCGTGAGGGCACGGCTCAGGCAGTTCTGGGCCTCCCAGTGGTTCCTGGGAGCAGGAAGGCCTGTGTGTGCATGTGTCTGTGTGCATACGTGTGACTGTGAATGTGTACATGTGGGTACATGTGACGATGTGGGCGCTTGTGTGTGCGTGCACCTCTGTGCCTGCGTGCGTGTGGGGGGCCAATGAGTACGCGTGCGTGCATACGTCCGTGTGTGCGCGTGTGACAACGGGTGTGCGATGAGTGTGCACACCTGTGTGCACATCTGTGCTTGTGAGCGTGTGTGCGTGTGGCCTGCACTCCTGGGGCTGGGGTGGCCCTTCCGCTCCAAGAGCTCCGAGAGTTCCGGGGCCTGTTTTCCAGCTCCCTCACCCTCCTTCTCTGTGAGTGTTGACTCAGGGAGGGACAGGCAGCCTTCTTTCAGGATTTCCTGGTTGGGTAGAAGTGGTGCCTTGAAAAGGGAACAATTGTGTCCTGAGTGGACGTTGAAGGGTCTGGGTCGTGCAGTGCTCTGCGGTGCCCAAGGCCACCGGGCCGTGTGCCCACCTGGGCCGGGTTTCCAGAGGCGGCTACAGAAAGGCTTTCCCATGAGCAAGCCCACGGGACACGCTTCAAGCCTTTCGCTAATGCTCCCCGACCTGGGCCTCGTAGCTTGAGGGGGTCTGGGTCCGGAGGCCCCCGTTACAGCTGTGAAGGGGAGGCCAGCGCTCCCTGCGGACAGAAAGGTGTAAGCAAAGGAGGACCCTCCTACCTCCCCAGGCACTGGCTGCCCTGGTTCCCCCACCAGCCTCGGCCAGGTTATTCGGATCCTCTTGCCCTGCACGGGCCCCATCCCCCAAAGCCTCGGCAGATAACATGAAAATCTTTCCAGGCTGCTGGTGTCACTCTAAGAGTGAGTGAAAAGTCCAAGGAAGGCTCCGTCATGCGGAGGCCGTCTGAAACACTGGCTCTTCCAGAAGGACCTGGAGCCTTGGCTCAACCGGGCGCTTGTGAGAAATGCAGAGTCCTGGGCTCTGTGGACCTGCTGAGCCAACACCTGGGCTTCAACACGGTCCCCTGAGGAGCTGTGGAGCCCAACACTCCTAGTGTCCCCCCCCCAACCTCCTTCCCCCCCCATCTTGGGTCAGGCTGAGGGCAAGGCTGCCCTGGGGCCGGGAAGCATTAGGGGTGGGGCTCCAGACCCGGAAGGGAACTGGAGAAGGTGGGCAGCCAGCCTGCCAGTGAGCCAGCCCTGGGAGAAGGCCTAATCTTCAGGACAAAGTGGGGATTTGCAGCCCAAAGGCTGCTAATAAGCTACAGCTCTTCTGTCAGCACCTGCTCTCTGGAGAGGGAAGAAACTGTCCCCAGGGCACAGGGAGCCGCCTGCCCTGCTCCTCTGGGAGGTGGTGGGAACCGGCCAATGGCTTGGAGTTCAGCTGTCCCTGAGCAGGGTCAGCACAAGCAATGGTCCCCATGGGGGGTCCCCAGAGAACTCGCAGTCCGGGCCCCCATGAGCTCAGGCCTGCGGTGCCCGTCCCCAACAGCACTGCCACCAAATCTCTCCCCTGCCAGCAAAACAGGCTTCCCCCTGACCCCTCGCACTCTCCTTCTGAAAGAGGTTTCCTCTGCCCTCTCCCACCGCAGCTGTGTGTGATAACCCAGACGCCGGGCTGTGGGAGGTGAACAGGAACCTGCCCCCCCGCCACCTTTGCCCGCCTTGGTGCCCCCAGGATCCGGGCACAGGCCTGCCCTGAGCTGGGAAGGAGGGCACAAGAGTCCCTGGGGGCTGCAGAGACTCAGTGCCTTGTGAGGCTGAGGCCAGGGGAGGGTTCCAGGGCTCTCCCTGCGCTGGGCAGCAGCGGGGATGGGGGTGGGGGTGGTGCCGGTCTCTGGCCCACACCACACTGAGCAGCCACGAGTTGGGAGGCCGTTAATAATTAACCCTGGGCCTGGGCCTTGACCTCGTGGGCCTCTGAGTAAACAGGACTTTCTGGCCAAGCGTCCGCAGCCTGCTGGAGCCTGCTGGGCCCCTCATGGCCTCTCTGCCCCTTGACCTTTTCGGGCCTTGTGGTCTAGGCCTCCTTCCCCCTCCTCAGTTGCCGAACTGGAGCAGTCTGCACGCGTGGGCCTCTCTGACCTTGCCCCAGGTCAACCTCCCACCTGTGCCCACCCCAGCACCTTTTCTGTCTGTACCCACCTCCCACCCCCAGCCTTGAAGGCCAGCATCTCTTCTTGGATGGAAATTTGCCAACAGAGTGTCTCAGCCAAGGTCTCGGCACAGCCCATCAATGCCGAACCTCTGTGGCCGGAGCGGGACTTGACGTCACTCTTATGGACTCTGATGTCTGGGCTATGTGTGATGTGTCAGACTCTGGGGCGGGGGGGGGGGGGGGGGGGGGGGGGGGGGGGGGGCGGTGCAGGCCAGGTAAGTGGTTCCAGTTGCATGGAGCAGCCCTGGTGACAGTCAGGATCATCTGTCAAAGGCTCACATTCTAGCTCCAGTTTTGCCCGAACTGGCTGTGTGACCCTTGGCCAGTGCCCTGACTCTCTCGGCCTCGGTTTCTCCATCTGTATAAGAAAAAACTGGACAGGTATCCCAGGGCTTGCCAGCTCCAGGATTCTGGACCCCATTTGGGCTTGGAGTGACTGAGGACAGGAACGGTGCATGTCCCATCCCACCCCAGGGACTCATGGACAGTCATCTGGTGGGCTCCTGCATTCCTGGCTGGCCAGCATCCACTTCCTGCCTCTAGGGAAGCCCCGGTGTTCTTTGGGGGAACCAGCCCTTGCCCTTTGTCAGGTCACATGGTTTGTTTAGGCAGGGCCGCTATAGCCCGGGGCTCCAGAAGTAGGTCATGTGCCCTGCCCATGGCCAATGGGTGTCAGCCCTGAGACTTTTGCTGGAAATACTGGGAAAAATTGTTTCCTTTGTCCAAAGTGGCAAAACGGGGGAATGCGAGCCAGTGGCTATGTCACTGGGAGCCTGCCGGAAGACAAAGGGACAGAAAGGGGGGCAGAGCTGACGCACGAGCACGTATTTCCACAGATGGACTCTTGCTGTGCGTGAAGCTGGTACCGCCCTGGGCTTTGCCTTTACGAGACCTGTTAAGTCCTTTTCTGCTCAAACCAGCACTATATGGGTTTTCTTCTTCATTCACATATTCTCACACCCTGCTCAGACCACGCAGGGAAGATGCCACAAACACACAATAGCCACAGGTACACACACCGCTCAGTCTGCACAGAAAGTGTGAGTGAAGAACAGGGCCGGTGGGGAAGACAGCCTGGCTGCTGTGAGGGGCTTGAGGGGAGAATGAGTGAGCACGGAGAAGGGCTGGGCCAGGCCAGGCAGTGACCGGCAGAGGACTTGGGCCCCGGGGAGCCATTGAGAATTTTGGATGAGGGGATGGTGGGTAAATGGTTGTGGCTCACCGACAAGGGAACGGATGTGTTTGTGCTTATGTGCACACACACACACATGCACGCACACACACACACTGACTTTTACAGGCAAGAAACATTCTGTGGTCCACCGTGGGAGCCCTTTGAGGGTCTGCTACTGCAGGGGCCTGGATCTGGTTCTGCACATGTGTGGGTCAGGGGCCTCTGGTCAGTCGGGCTCTCCATCTACCTGGGACGATGTGGTTTCCAGGAAGCCAAGGAGAAGGGGTGCCTCCTCTGCTCCACCATAGGGTAGGGGGCCATTGGGCCTCTGGAGGAGCAGAGGCTCAGCCCCACTGAAGCTCCTCAGGGCCCTCAAGGAGAGCTGGCTTCCTGGGCCTCCTGGGCCTCCTGGGCCTGGGCTCAGGGAGAGACCTTATCCTGGTGACCAGCCTGTCTCTACAACTGGCCAGTCGTGAGTCCCAGAGGCAGAGGGCTTCAGACGCATGTGCACACCATGCTTACCCGAGGACACACACACACACGAACACATAGGGCATAAAGATGATGCACTCTCGGATCACTACGGCTGTGAGCCCTGGGGTGGAGAGGTAGGGACCCTCTGGGTGGATGGGGAGTAGGGACAATAAGCAGGGAACCCCCACCTGCAAGGCCTTGCCTGGCACCTGGAGCTCCGGCCTGGGGAAAGCCTTCTTCACCAGCGGTGGGACCAGCTGGATCGGGGCTCTCGCCAAGCTGCTCTTCTGGCGCTTTCTCTGTTCCTCTTCTTTTCCCTGCCTTGGCCGTGGACTGTTTCAGCCCCTTCCCCATTTCTGCCTCCCGGCCCCTCCTCTCTCCAGTGCTTTCATTTTGTCTCCTGGAAGGGGCCCCCAAGAGAGAGCAGCCAGGCTCAGAGCTCGAGCCCCGCGGTCATCTGCCCAGCCCTCCTCTTCAGCTGCTCCCTGCCCTGCTTCCCCACTCTGGCCACAGCCCTCTCGTCCTTTGCCCTAGAACTGCCAGCACTCTGATGGGGGGGCAGTGGCTGCAGGCCTGGCTCCTCCCCCAGCTGCTGCAGCCCCCCTGCCCCCCTGGAGGCTGGCCATGGGGGTTGGGCCGTGGGGAGGCTGCGGAGCCAGGACACGTGTCCTGGCCCCACGCGGAACCCTTGCCCTGGCCACAGAGTCACACTGGTCAGGCCCAGCTCTGTCCCCTGAAATCCCTGGAGACGCAGGCAGCCATGGGCTCCCCCCTACCTCCAGGTTAGGAAACTGAGCCTGGCTCGGGGCAGGAGGCGGGAGGAAGCAGGATGTGGAGGAACCCCCAGGAGGAGCAAGGTCCAGCCAGCCGTGAAGTGGGAAGATGTGCCCCACACCCTGTCATCCCTTCAGTGAGGCCTCAAGGAAAAGCTGGCCCTGTAAGGGGGAGCAAGGGACCGTTTCATGGCTGTGGGCCTTGCCAGAGTGAAAGCAGGCACAGGGGCCTCCGTCAGGTGCAGTGGGAAAAGCACCTTCCGCCCTGGGAGTCACTGTGCTCATTGCTGCCGTCCTGGCCAGAGCTTGCTGGGGCCTGCCTCCAGGAAGCTCTCCCGGTCTGGACTGGAAGTGAGAAGAGCCCAACGCAGCCGGTCTTCATCCTCCTTAGGTTGAAAGTTGCAGGGACAGGACTGGGCCATCCATTCTGTCACCCAGCCTACCTGGGTCCCCGGGCTGGGCTGCCCAGTGGGGGCCGGGGCTGCGGTGGAGATGCCCTGACCGCACATCTCAAAACCTGGGGCAAGGCCCCAGCTTGTGATCACTGATGGGCTGGCGTTTGAGCCAGTCCCCTAGAAAGAAGTCCTTGGGTCTAGGGCTGCCAGTGGCTATAGCAGACGACCCTGGGCAGTGTCAGGAGATGCCAGGAGCTGGAGAAAGGGTGGGTGGGGGCAGCGATCACTCTAACGTGGTGTCAGGCTGCCTGGGTTCACATCTGGCTGGGTGTCTGATGGGTATTTTTCCCTCTTGAGTCTCAGCGGAAAGTCTGGAGTGGGACTCTCCTCCCCAGATTGTGGGGTATGATAATGTGGATAATACCCAGCGTGGCACACGCTTAGCCCTCGATCAACGTAGCCCATAGGCGGTTCAGGCCGACAGCCCTGGAGGACGGCGGAATCCAGGTCATTTTGGACAAGGCCTGTCAACAGGCAAAGGGAAACACTCCTGACTAAATCTGCCTTCCTGGGCCCCAGCATCCTCAAGGCACAAATATGCATACACACATGCATACACACACACATGTGCACACACACACACACACACAACTGGCTTCCCTCCCCAGGACCCAACCACCTGCTGGAAAACCAAGAACTGCCTTTTCAAAATAATGATTAAGAATCAGCATTGACTATTCAAACTGAAACTCCCCAAACCCTTCTCTGGGGTACCCAGCTCCTCTGGAGCCTGTGGGTAAAAAGCTCTTACCATAGTGGAAAAAGTAGTCTGCCGAAACGGAAATCTTCCTCAATTTAGCTGAGTCATTTTCTCGTGGTTAAGGAAGTCCAGATCACCTCTGGCCCTTCCCCTGATGCCCCTGGCCCAACCAGCCTAAAGGACCCCAATCCACACCCCCACCACGTCTGTGCCTAGCTAACCCCAGGGCCCTCCCAGCAGAGCCCCTGGCAGGAAGATACCCCAGCCCTCCTGCTGCTTCCTGCAGCTACTTCCTGCTTCTGGGTGGGCGTCCGGAGCCCTGGAGAACCAGGAACCAGGGGGGCACCCCAGAGAGGACTGTGGGCCACAGTGGGGGAGAAGGGGGCAGACCCATGGCCTGGGCGGCTCCCAGGGGGCCGCGCTCTGGGTGCCCCCGGACCCACTGTCTTGGGCTTCAGTGGGGCTCCCTACAGCCAGGGATGGGGTCTCATCCCGGATCTGAGGAGCCTGAGTCCAGGGGCTGACAGGTACCCAGTCAGGGTTTCCAGTTCAATGGAAGCTGGTGTTGGTTGGTGCCCCTGCCTGGCTGCAGGCTGTTGCCCCTCCCTTGGAGACTCCTAGGAAGCTTCCAGAGGCTGTTCTCTGGGAAGATGGAGGGTTGACGTGGTGGTGGGGGGGGGGCACCCTGGCGCAGCGGGGAAGGCCTTGAATGCACCAAACTGCGGTAGTTGTGCAGCAGGGAGGGGAGGCCGGCTCTGCGGATGATGTGTCCTCCTCGTGCCAGAAACCAGGGACCTCCTGGGATGGCCCTCTAGCTGAGCCCTGGGCTTCCCATCTGGGTGCTCTTCCTGGACCGACAGGGAGTCAGCAGGAACCTTGAGGCTGCCCACTTGTCTGCACTCAGCCTTCCCTCAGCTGACATGTGTCATGTGCCGTCTGGTGGCCGTCTGGTGCTCTGTGTCCTGCCTGAGAAGCGGGGACAGATATCCCTGGCCCAGGATTTCTGGGAAATTAAAGGAATGGTAGTAGGCAGTAGCCAGGAGGCCAAGCCCCGGTGTAGATGGCAGGCAGTTGACAATCCTGATGTATTTGGGGGATCAGAGGGTCCCAGGCGTAGTGAGACTAGGTGCCACTTCTTACCAACCTGGGGAGGAGCAGTGTAGCAGCAAGGACTGGGGGTACATCCCAGCTGGGTGTCCGAAGTCACCCGGTGGAGGTCCCCTTAGGCTCGAGTGTCAGGGTGGATGGAGGGCAACCAGCTGACGTTACCTGCATTCTGGAAGCTGTGGGAAGGGACCCAGGCCTGGAAAGACTAGAAGGCCTAGAGTGGATGGTGGTGCTATTGGGGTCCACGTGGGACCCCAAAACTGAAGGACCAGGAGCACTGCAGCAGATACCAGGGAGGCCCCCCTCCCCAGAGGGCCCCTCGGTCCATCTCAGTGCCCAGCAGGCATCTGCTGGCCCGGCCCTGGGGGCTGTGTTGCCCAAAGTCACCTCACACCCACTTGGACCGGGTCCTCCCCCAGGGCTCTGGGAGCCAGTGTTTGGGAAATTAGGTGAGGGGGGCCTGGGACTAGGGTGAGGAAGGGAACTATTTATGGCTAAAAGTCATCTTGAAATTTTCAACATATTTTTTATTTTTCAAAACAAAAGCTGTACACGTGGGGTGGGAGGGGGGTGAACCTAGCTTTGTGGGAAATGAGTCAGACAGCCATAAAATTGTGTTTTTCTGAGCTGAGGGGATTATTTTACATCTTGTGGCATGAACACACTGAAAGGAAGCCCTCGTCCTGGTCCCTGGCAGGCTTCCCTGCTTGCCAGCCTGGGCCTCCGCAGCTCCCTCCTCTCGTGAGCTGGGGGCTGTCACCCTCCCAGAAGAGGTGAATGCTGTAGCTGCTTCCGAAGGCCTCGCTTCTCACCTCCTAAGCCTCTCCCTTCTCCCTCCCTAACCTACCCCCCATTCTTTTAGGCAGGAACAAGGCCGTGAAGGGTGGTGGCCTCACAGTGGGTCCTGTCTTCACCATTTACAGTCTGAGAATCTGGCTAAGTCCAAAGGTCCTCAGAGAGCCTCCCACCCCTCATCTGGTGGCTGGCTGGTGTGGGACCACCCTCGGAGCAGCTGACAGGATACAAAGAGAGACTTAAGAGAGCACCTGCATACCATAGGTGCTCAGTAAAAGGCTTTCCTTCCCCACCGTCAAGCAGCATCCTTGAGCACAGGTGATGAGGGGCACCAGAGACAACCTGTTCCTTTGGGGGACTCTCCCAAGGCCAGAAGGACAGGAGCCCTTCCCTGTCACCAGCGTGCCCCACCCCCCACCCAGAGTCACTCCCCCCACCCCAGCTCTGGTCCCAGGCAGGGATCAGGAGGCAGAATCTCCATCCCGGGGGCTGGAGGATTCAGAAAGGTTAGGACCATAGAATTCTGGGGACCCACTGGGGACAGGACCCTGGCTTCAGGTTATAGCTTTCAACCCCTTATCTCCTCCCAGGCAGGTGATGGTTGGGACTAGTCAGGAGAGGCTCTCCCTGGAGCCCCTCTGAAGTCTCTCACCTGTCCCTCGCAGCCCTGCCTCCCCCGGCTGGAGCCACAGATCCCATGGACAGCCTGGGGCCCAGGAGACAGATGTCCTCCATGGGGAGAGACTGCTGGCAGCCTGGAGCAGGGCCAAAGTCAGGGAAAACGATGTGGGATCTGAATCACATTGACTGATTCCAGAAACCTACCACCTTCCTCCACCAGGATGGTGTGAGCCTGCTTTTTCTCCAGAAGCAATGGGAAAGAAGGTTCACTCTGTATAGATTCCATTTCTTCCCAGGCCAATGGCCAGTACATCAGACACCACTTGTTTTGCCTGTCTCGTTTTCCCCAATTCCAGCCACGACACCCAGATTTTCCTTGGAGAACCTCCCCTCCACTCTCATTCCATGTGGTGTGCATATAGCTGACCCTCTTCTAAATTGCCTGCTGGGGAAGGAGGGCGGTGAGAACGGGACTCAGGATCGGCCTGTTGGCATCTTCCACCCTCCCAGGCACACTGGCTGGTTCAGTGATGAGCCTATCGTCCAACAGAATCCAATTCCAGGACTTTAGACGGAACCGTTCAGAAACAGAAGCTCCGTTCTGGGTTGCTGGGTGTCAGTTTGGAGGCCTTGAGTTACTGGGAACCTCCAGGCACTGGAGACTCAGAGACCGAGCCGGCACAAAGGATGGCTAAACAAGGAGTTGGAGTGACAGAGAATTCTCCATGACGGTGTCTGGCGGATGGATCCAGCCATGCCTGAAGCCACATCCCCTCGTGGTTTGTTTTGCTGATGGCACTCGGATCTATGCCTGAGTCCCGGGCACAGAGGCGGGAGCTTTGGTGAGATGTGCCAATATCATTTGCTTCTTTCTACTTAGGCCACTCAGGCTGGGATTCTGCAAGTGTGGGTAAGCCAGTTACCTAGGGCTGAGGCCTAACACACAGCTGGGCTCACTGACCACGGAAGCCTGGATATGTGGGTGAGAAGGGAGTCTGGGGGTGACCCACACTGACTGCAACCCCCTGAGGAGACCACCCTCAAGGGTGAATTTGGGAGCAGACTTCACGGGAAGGAGCTGATGATTTTCCAGTGACTAAATTAAGAGAAAGAACCAGCAGCACATTCTTTTGCCTTCATCTTTCCATCTGTATGATGGGCACCCTGAGCCATAGAGAATCGATTGGTTAATTTTGTGAGATGTTTGTCAGCATTTCTAATGCTGGAATGGAAACTCCAGGCGGGCAGAAGTTTTGCCGAGTGTGGCTCAGCACTGTGCCCTAGAGCTGAGGAGACCCCTGCTCCGGAAATATTTGGTGAACGAAGGAAAAGTCTGGTATTCTCACACTCCCCTGCTTGAAATCCTCCAATGCCTTCCCACTGTAGTTAGAGTGTATGAAATCTAGATTTCTTCCTGTGTCCTATGAGTAGGGTAACTGTGTCATTTATTAAGCCATCAGGGATGCATTTTGTGAGTCAAAGGAATGCTATAAATGATTATTCTGGAACAGTGGGAGTAAACGGAGCTTCTCGAGCAAATGGAGAAGCAAAGCTACCCCACTCCGAGGCCCCCAGGAGCTGGTCTCTGCCCCTCCCCCTCATCCAGCCACTCTGACCTTCCCCTGGGACTTTGCTCTGTTTCTCTGCCTGGAGAAGCCATTCGAGTGCCTGGATCTTTCTCGTCACCTTGGTCTCCACCGGACACTGTCTCCTTAGGGGCCTTGCCTGACCACCCACCCACCCAGGCAACCTCGCCAGGGGATCTCGGTTCATTTTTCTCCCTCGCAGCTCCCGTCTCCAAAGCGAAAGTGAAGGGAAGCAAACTTCCTCTCAAGAGGT